CCGTTGAATTCTTCTCGCGAAATCTAGCTACCACGTCAATTTTTGTCAAATTCTGAGATAGTCAGATTTTTCATGTTTTACAAGACAGTTGAGTCTCAGGTGACCCAAAAATGAGATTTTTAATAAAATTTTGAGTTGAAAAATAATTTAAGACAAACTAAAATAAAAATTATTTTGAACTTGAACCGAGATGAAATTTAATCGTTTCAAGACAAAACGGACGAGAAAAATATGGTCGTGTGGCGGAATGAGGGCCAACTAATTGCGGGACTATATAAAGGGGAAGAAAATCAGATTTCTTCCCCAAAATTGTTTAGCTGTTACCCGATAGAGAGAGAGAGAGAGGAAAGGATTTCCCAAGCTTTTCTCTTGCGATCAAGGGCCAAACTTTGGTCGAATCACCCCGGGCCGAGAACAAAAGTTGTTCTCCTCGAGTGGGCTACAAGACCATTCTAGAAATTTAAGATTTCATCGATGTTCCAAAAATGAGCTTGGAGAAATCAAGAGTTTTGAGCGAGATTGAGATTCTTGAAGGCTTCTACCAAGTTCTTTACGCTTCAAGAGATAGGGTTCCCTCATACTTAGGTTTATTTTCTAACTTAGGATGTTATATGTAATGGGTAGGTTGATAGAATTATATATCACTTATCAATTGTTGTGAAATTGATGGAAATGGGTATTAGAAATGGTTTAGAATAAATTCCTAGCTTAGAAATGAAATGTGGTAATTACTTGTGAAATTCCATGGAAATTGGTATTTGTGGGCATGCTATATGTTTAAATTATGTCTTGGTGAATGAAGTGTATTATTGACATATATATTATGTGATAACATGCTTAAAAATTGTTGTTGGATATAATGTTAATATATGTGTTATGACATGTTAGCATTATGATAAGTTGTGAAATTATATCTTTTTTGATATAAATGGCAAAATATGTATGTGTTATACGAGTGGATAACAATTCCGGTTAAAAGGATTCTATTGACGTGATGTCGGATTGGACGGCAATCACGAGTATTTTTGCAGGTTGACAGGTAGTCAATGGTTAATAAAGGACCCCCGGTTTTAGGGCGTCACACGAGCAACCTCCAAAAGTTTAAGGCGCACAAGCCTCCAGTATTCAAGGGAGGGACAGATCCGATGGTGGCCGACCATTGGTTCTGGCAAGTTGGCAAGATTTTAGAGGCAATGGAGATCACCTCCGATGCCACGAAGATAAGACTAGCTGCATTCCAGCTAGAGGAAGAAGCCCAACTATGGTGGGAGTGGGCAAAGGACTCCAAGAACTTGGAGGAAATGACATGGGGAGAGTTTATGGAGCTCTTCAAGGGCAAGCACTTCCCAGCGGCCGCTATACATGCAAAGGCCCAGGAATTCTTGGATTTGAAACAAGGGACGATGACGGTGATGGAGTATGTGGCTAAGTTCAACAAATTAGCCCATTTTGATGATGATTACATAGTCACGAATATGGCCAAGGTGAGGAAGTTCGAGGATGGTTTGAAACTATCCATCTGGGGGAAATTGTGGGCCTCCACTTGTAAGATTTGGACTCGATGGTCAAGACAGCTATGTCCATTGAGAGAAAGGTTGAGGACGCAAGGAGCATCCGGGAGTTGGGTGCTAAGGACAAGAAAAAGGAGAGTTAATCCTCTTCTTCTAGTTCGGGGAAGAGGTGGAGGACTTTTACTCTACAAGGACAGGGTCGCGGCTATCAAGGCCAAGGCCAAGGTCAATCGTCCCAAGGCGGGGGAAGCATGAGGACAACATATCAGGCATGTCAGAGAACTTGTTTCCATTGCCACCATCGGGCCACGTGAAGCGAGATTGCCCTCCGAGGTAGGGATCCCAGAGCTACGGGCCATCCCATTCCTAGTCATCGGTAGGGCATGCATAAACTTATTTTGTTCCTCCCTACCCCACTATGGGCCAGGGAAGCCAGTACCACTTCTAGGGTGCTACACATGTCCCTACCACTTCATGAGCGGGGACTCCACAATCAGGCTAAATGGACCAGGGCATGGGTCCAGGCTGAGGATAGTAGGTCGAGACATCGGGGACCCAGGGGCGTGTCTACGCCATCACACCACAGACTGAACCAGTGGATCAGTCAGTCATTCAGGGTACATTTATACTCTCTCGCTTATGGGCTAGGGTGTTATTTGACTCTGGTGCATCGCATTCATTCATATTTGCATCATGCATGAAAGATTTGGGTTTAGAAATTGATACCTTGGAAGAGCATTGTATATGAATTCACCCCTAGGAGCTAGGGTGTGTGCTGATTGGATTTGTCAGGGTTGTGAGTTAGAGATCTCGTGGATTCTACTCACCATGGACCTTAGGGTCATAGACATGTCAAAGTTCAATGTTATCCTCAGGATGGATTGGTTGGCGGCACATTGGGTTATCATTGACTGTAATCGGAAGAGAGTAACTACTTATACACCGGACGGTGTTTGTTTCAAATTTCAGGGAAAAAAGCATGAAGCTTTGTCCCAATCCGTGTATGACTCCCGTTGGCATGGACAGTTTATGGGTTGGCTTGCAAGCCTTACCTTGGAGAACGAGGTGAGACAGGAGTTGGGTCTACCTTGGGTTGTGTGTCAGTATGAGGATATTTTTTTGGATGAACTACCGGGATTACCTCCCCATAGAGATGTAGACTTCAGCATTGAGTTGCATCCTGGTATATCACCTGTTTTTATAACTCCACATAGGATGACGTCATTTGAGTTGCAAGAACTCAAGATCCAATAGCAAGAATTGTTGGACAAGGGCTTTATTAGACTGAACACTTCACCGTGGGGTGCTCCGGTATTGTTTGTCAAGAAGAAGGACAAGTTCCTTAAGCTATTTATAGACTATTGGCAATTGAATCGTGTCACTATCAAGAATAGGTACCCTTTGTCGATGATTGATGATCTATTTGATCAGCTGAGGGGAGCGCGAATCTACTCCAAGATAGATCTTTGCACCGGCTACCATTAGTTGAGGATTAGAGAGGCAGATATCCCTAAAACGATATTCAGAATGAGGTATGGACATTTCGAGTTCACTGTGATGCCATTTGGATTGACGAATGCCCCAGCGGCATTCATGGATCTCATGCATAGGGTGTTTCAACCCTACTTATATCAGTTCGTCGTAGTCTTTGTTGACGACATCTTGATCTACTTCAAGTCTGAAGAGGAGCATGAGAGAGTCACTTGAGGATTGTTCTCCAGACCTTGAGAAATCATCAGTTTTACGCCAAGTTCAGCAAGTGTGAATTTTGGTTTACAAAGGTAAAGTTTTTGGGACATGTGGTATCGTCTTCGGGTGTATCCGTGGACCCAGAGAAGGTTGAGGCAGTTCTGAATAGGGAGAGGCCGAAGTCAGTCTTCGAGATACTCAATTTTTTGGGATTGGCGGGGTATTATAGGAGGTTCATCGAGGACTTCCCCAACTAGCCGCACCTATGACGAGATTGACTCGGAAGGGGGTCAAGTTTGAGTGGAATAAATCGTGCGAGAAGGCATTCCTGGAGTTAAAGAGGAGGCTTACTTTAGCTCCTATTTTGATAATCCCGGAGAGAGCACAGATGTACATGGTGTACTGTGATGCCTCTAGAGATGGACTAGGTTGTGTTTTGATGCAGTCCAGGAGAGTGGTGGCTTATGGTTCTCGACAATTCAAAAATCACGAGCAGAATTACCCTACACATGACATGGAGTTGGTGTCCATTATCTTTGCATTGAAGGCTTGACGCCACTATTTATATGGTGAGCAGTTCGAGATGTTTTCTTACCACAAAAGTCTGAAGTATATTTTTACACAGCGGGACCTCAACATGAGGCAACGCATGTGGATGGAGTACTTGGAGGACTACAACTTCACTTTGCATTACAATCCTAGTAAGGCAAACGTGGTGGCTGATGTACTTAGTCGAAAGTCACGGGGAGTTATGGTTAGTGTGGCTTCCCGAGAATGGCGGATGCTTGAGACTGTGGGACGGTTTGGACTGCATTACCGGGGTTAGGCTCAGGGTGTTTTAAGGGGCTTGGTGGCTACGCCTTCCCTACTGAGCAGGGTGATAGAGTCCCAAGGACAAGACCCAAAGTTATTATCCATCAGGGATCGAGTGCAGGATGGTACCAATGACGAAAGCTAGGCCATTCACTCAAATGGCAGTCTTCGGTCTAGGGGAAGGGTTGTGGTTCCCCAGTTAGCAGATCTGAGAGAGGAGATCCTTAGGGAGTTCCATTGCTCCCGAGTCGCAGTGCATCTAGGTGGCACGAAGAGGTGCCATAATCTTTGTCGTCAATACTATTAGAGTGGGATGAAGAGACATGTTGGGCACTTTGTCAAACAATGTCTCACGTGTCAGCAGGTCAAGGTTGAGCACCAGAGACCAGCGGGGTTGCTCCAGCCCTTGGACATAGTTGAGTGAAAGTAAGAGCATGTCACAACAGATTTTGTGGCTCACTTACCACGGACATCGCGGGGACATGATGCGGTATGGGTGATAGTGGACCGACTTACAAAGTTGACACACTTTTTGGCAGTGCAGATGACCTTCACACTAGAGAAATTCTGTGGGTTGCATATATAGGAGATTGTCCGGTTACATGGGGTGCTTATATCTATTGTATTGGATCAGGATTCTAGGTTTACGACTTACTTTTGGGAGAGTTTTCAACGAGCTATGGGGACGCAATTGATGATGAGCACTGCTTTTCATCCTCAAATAAACAGTAAGTCGGAGAGGACCATCTAGACTTTAGAGGACATGCTACGGGCATGCGTCCCAGACCTCAAGGGTAGTTGGGAAGAGCATTTACCCTTAGTGGAGTTCACCTACAATAATAGTTATCAGGCGAGCATTTAGATGGCACCCTATGAGGCACTATATGGGAGGTCTTGCCATTCTCCGGTGTGCTGGACGAAGGTTGGAGAGAGACCCTCTACGGGTCTGAATTTGATCAGAGACACCTCAAAGAAAGTAAACTTGATATGAAAGCGTCTTTTCACGGCTCAGAGTCGGCAGAAGAGCTACGCCGACAGACGGTAGCGACCACTGGAGTTTGAGGTGGGAGATCACGTCTTCTTGAATATGATGTCTAAGAAGGGAGTGGTCAAATTCAGAAAACAGGGAAAGCTGTTCCCAAGGTTTATCGGGCCCTTCGAGGTATTCGAGAGGGTGGGTACAGTGACTTACAGATTGGCATTACTACCAAATTTCTCGGGTGGTCACACGGTGCTCCATGTCTCTATGCTCTGGAAGTATACTCTAGATCCACACATGTCGTGGATTGGGGTAAGTTGATTGTTGATGCGGATGGGACCTTTGAGGAGGGACTGACGCGCATCATGGATAGTCGGGAACAGATTTTGTGAGGTAAGATCGTGAGGCTAGTAAAGGTGTTGTGGCAACACCGAGGCATGGAAAATGCGACATGGGAGCATGAGGACACCATATGTACTAATTATCCATTCCTGTTCGAGGATGGAGGTACATTTCTATAATTTTAAGCATAGTATAAATGTTGCATATGCATGCGGTTAAATGTGTATGTGTGTGTGATTTTAAGGGGGGAAAAATGTAAAACTCAGGTAAATTTGAACTTTTATGAAAAAGGGCAAAACGATAATTTGTCACTATGGTATGGGTTGTAAACCTGAATTTTTCTACAACTCGAATGATGAAACAGACTTCACCGTTAGATTCGTCTTGCAAAATCTAGCTACCTTATCAAATTTCATCGAATTCTGAGATAGTGGGATTTTTTACGTTTTACGAGTTAGTCGAGTCTTGGGTGACCCAAAAACGAAATTTTTAATAAAATTTCAGAAGTTAAAAAATAAATTGAGGCAAGTTAAAATAAAAATATTTTGAACTTAAACTGGGACGAAATTTAATCATTTCGGGACGAAAACGGACCTGAGAAAAATAGGGTCGTGTGGTGCGTTGTGGACCAAACAATTAGAGGGTATAAATAGGGGAAAATCTGATTTATCTCCCATTTTATGTTCAGTTGTTACCCGATAGATAGAGAGAGAGAAAAAAAGAAAAGAGTTTCTCAAGATTTTCTCTTGTGATCAAGGGCCAAACTTTAGTCGAATCAACCCGGGCTGAGAACAGAAGTTGTTCTCCTCAACTTGGGCTACGAGACCATACCAAAAAACGAAGATTTCACCGAAGCTCCAAAAACGGGATTTGGGGAAAATCAAGGCTAGGGTTCCATTGGTGTTCTTGAAAGTCTTCTAAGTGGATTTCACTCTTCAAGAGGTACGGTTCCTTCCTACTTTGGTTTAATTTCTAACCTAGGGTGTAATATGAGATGGGTAGGTGGATAGAGATGTACATCACTTGCCAATATTTGTGAAATTGAGTAAATGGGTATTGAAAATGGGTATAGAAATGGTTTAAAATGAATTCCTAGCATGGAATTGGTATGTGGTAATTACTTGTGTAATTCCATGAAAATTGGTGTTATGTGGGCATGCTATGTGTTTATATTATGCCTTTGTGAATAAAGTGTGTTATGACATATATTATGTAATAACATGTTTGTGATGTATTGTTGGATATGAAAATGTTGATGTATGCTCATAGATATATCAACATTGTGATGGAATTAGAAATTATATGCTTTGGATATGAATTTCCATGGAATATGTATAAATGTGGTAAAATTTACTCATATGACATTCATTACATATGGGACCTGACATCGATATAGCAATGGTGCATTACATTGTACTTGCACGCAGGACATCGCATCCATGGGCACGAGACATGGGTGTGGGTATGAGTGTGTGCATGGTTTGATCAAGCACCATACTTGGTGGTTGAGGGGTGGGCTCAGAAAAGTTGAATTAAAAATTCGACTAAGTCGCACGGTTGCATAAAGATTGGGTTGGGGTTAGCAAGAAGGGCTAGACTATCCCCAGGTGAGAGATCTGGTGATCGGATATGCACTCCGTTGGTATAAGAGCCCATAAAGTGTGTCGGTGAACGCGAAACTGTTGGTGGAAATTTATGAATTTCGTGTCGATTGGGTGACGTTGGTGTAAATCCATAAATACTCATCCTAAGAAATACCCAGAGATTTTTATTTAAAATAGTCATTGGGTGTGTAACGCCAATGGCGGGGGCTTGGAAACTCTGATTTTACACACATAGCATTGCATGGGTGAAAGGAGCCAGGGAGGGCTCGGGTAGAGTTGCATGAGTGAGTGTCATCTCATATCATGGCATGATGTGTTAGATTTCATCATAGACTTGCTTGATCTTGATTGGAACGGTTGTAGCTTATTAAAGGTTGCATAAACAATTCATATGCACTTAGGTTGGGGAGTAGCTTCTGTAAGAAATACTCTACTAGGCGTGGCTCACCTTATACGGAAAAATATTTCAGGTGCGGGATACACGCCGGAGGAAGGCCCTCATATGGGACCTCAAGGATGAAGAAAGCCAGAATGTGGCTTTATTTTGGATTTCTTGTAATTGATTATAAAAACTTAGTTTTGGCATATAAATTAATGTAGTGGAATTGTGTACGGACCTTGTGTAATATGAAAATTTTCAATATACATGTGTTGGATGGAGTTAATATGTTTTGAAATGGATTGAAAATGAAAAACAGGTCAAACAGACAAAACTGGATAGAACCTACTGGTAGATCGCTGTCCAATGGGCAGTACCTACCGGTAGCTTCGTGTTCAGGCAGAATTGTGTATGTCAGGCAAAACCTATCGGTAGGTCTTCCAAAAATCAAAAAATTTAAAACTGTTTTGCCAAGCTTTTGGGCTTTGGGTTCTTTGCTTCCAAAGATATAAATGGACATAAAATAAGAATAAATTGTGTTATACTAGACCCGGGTGGGTCAAATGGCAATTTATGCATATGTTATACATGTGGGTAACAATCTCAGTTAAAGGGATTCTAATGACATGATGCCGGATCGGGCGACAATCACGGGTATTTCTGCTGGTTGAAGGATGGTCAACGGTTGATAAAGGACCCCCGAGTTTAGGGGCGTCACAGATGTCAATGCCTCAATTCCTACCAAACATCATAGTAGGCCACGAATAAGTATTTTATATTAATCATGCATGTATATATATATAGAGAGAGTAGTACACTAAAAGTTTATTTTTTGTAGTGAAACTCGTTTTATTAATTAATAAAAGTTTGTTCGTTCCATTTTATTGAGAATTTATATGGGCAAAATGTTTGTATTATATTTTACTTATGGTATGCATGTGTGTCTTATATTTTATATTGTAGATAACCTGGTGTGTAGAGTTCGACTTATGCATAGAAGATCAGATTATCAAATTCTTGTATAATATGAGTATATGTTCACAATCATAGATGAAATTGGACACTCCATCCGTATAATTGTAGTATAATATTTTGGCATAGTCTGTCTTGACAATAGGAGATTGTTTGATATCTCAGATTATTGCACTAGTACACTTTGTATATTGAATAAATCCATGTTGAGGTTATTATCTTTACTGATTTAATAAGATAATAATTACCTTATGATTATTATGATTGCTTATGCTCTTAATCTCTAAATATTTAATTGTTGCGCACATATAATATTTGTCACTTTAATTCATCAAAGAGTGAGATTCATATTGGGTCAATAAACTCGATGAATTGGGAGACGATGTTATTTTTATGGTGAAAATTAAATATTAAAGGAAATCACGTCCTAATATTTAAATGGGTTGATGATGTTCTCTTGAGGAAGCTCATAAGCTTTGTCCATGTCAAAACCTATAGGTGGATTTAATTATTCGACATGACAAATAATTGAGTGGTAAGGTCTCAAGGAAAAAAAGAAGTCAATTACATATAATTGTCAGTGATTTATTTAATTTAAGGACATCTGTAATCTTAAACGTTAGAAGATTATTAAGCATACAGTAATAAGGAGCTCAAATATAATTTTGAGATAAGACCCAGGAAATCAATAATAAGTCTTTAGTGGGTTGAATTATTATTAATGGGTTGTAGGATGTTTGTTATGGGTTGAACATAAGAATCCTAAGCCCATTGGGAACCCGGTCCTTATTTCTCCTTGTGGTTTGTGTTGTAACCTATATATAGACGTCTAGATTCTCTAGTTCAGCATCCTATCTTTACTCACGTTTTTAGGGAAGCTGAAAGAGAGAGCAAGGATTCGAAGGTCTTGATAGCTCACATTGCATCCGAATCTGACATTGGGGGATCTACGACAGAAGGCTGCAAGGTTCATCGAGCTGTAGTCATTGTTCTGTTTTGCAATTGTGCTGAGACGAGATCAATCTCGAGGGATCTCTAAGGTAAAGCCTAATTCCGTCTTATAAGTATTTAAAGGAAAATTTTTGATATTCGATACATACGCACTGTCAACGGCTCTTGAAATTTTCGTTCTAACAAGTGGTATTAGAGCCATCGTTAATACCACGTATAGATTGAATTCTGCCATGTTGTCCAAATAAAACGAATAGATGTATACCATGAATGATGGGTAGAATGGAGAACTGTACTAATCCCCATTTTGCATCGTTCTTGTCCCGCTATTATGATCACATAATTTTTTTTATCGTTTTATGTGATTGGATCTCATGATGGTTTATTCGTGATTAATATTATGACAACGGATTTATATGATGGTTTATTTGTATCCTTCTGTAATAATTATACTGGTATGTGAACTCCCTCGTGGAGGCATAGGGCCATATATAATGTTTTATGTTGTAAGGTTACTGAGGAAGATGACTGTGTTAGAAACAGTTTTCGTGACACAAACCCTAGTTTGCAAAGCTGTTTTTTTTTTAATAGTTTTCATGACAGAACCCCGCGACTTGATCGGGCAAGTTGATCCCCAAAATTCAATCGAAGCGCAACATGGATGTAGCTGGATTCATCTCAAATTGCTAGAGAGTCCTTGTTAGATTGAAACTAAAGACATGACCATAGTAGCTGGGAGTTCTTATTTTATTTAGTCTCCTTGTTTATGTTAATCTCTGTGTTTTATTCATGTTCTTATTATGTGGGTAGTTAATGTGTATAATAGTACACTGATATATGGACAACATGGATAATTGACCTACCTTAGTTTTTTTTAAGTCATGGATTAATATTTTTATATATTGTTTTAAAATAAGGAGGTTCAAAGTATGTATGTGTAATTAGAAAATAAAATTGAATCCTCCAATATTGTTTTTAAATAGTTGTGAGGATTTGAAAATTTTATTTATTATACATACTGCACATAAAGATGGGGTAAGCCAGATATCTTTATATAAAATAGCAAACATCCTTATTTTAAGCCAATACAAATTAAATATGGTTTTGAAAACTAAATAGTAAATAACTAAGTGGGAGAGGGAAT